TCCATATCTAACTTGCATAATATGCCTTCTTTTTTTCTATTAACCAAATCATCCACTACCTCATTAGTAATTAACCCAGCATCAAGAATCTGTCTGCCACTAACAAAAGCATGTTGTGCTTCACCAATGACTTTGTTTAGTACCTTTGCCATTCTCCTAACCAAGACTTTGGCAATTAATTTGTATACACAACCTACAAAGCTAATCAGTTCGAACTCCTTAACATTAGATGCTCCTCTCACTTTTGCAATGAGTACAATAAAAGTGGAATTTAAAGACTTAAGGAATTTACCGGAGTTATGAATTTCATTGAAAAGTCCTTCTTGAATACATCCCAAAACTCCTATAGAAAACCCATGTTAAACCCATCCGGACCCGGCGCCTTATCCTTTCTACAAATTTTAACCCGTCCAGAATTTCTTCAGTAAAACAGCTTTCCATAGACTCTCTGCTCACGTTATCTAGTGCTGCAAAACTGATCCTCCCCCCCCCCTCCCCCCCCCCCCCCCAATTTCGGACTCCAATCATACTTTCCGAAAACTGTTTGGAAAAGTACTCTGGCAACTTCTCTTATTTCAAAATTCCCTTCAATTTTCCTGGACCCAAAGAACATTGAAGCCACAAAATTGTTCCTTCGATGGTGATTGGCTAAGCAATGAAAAAATTTAGTATTTCTATCACCTTCTAAAATCCACCTTGTTCTTGATTTCTGCTTCCAACTAATCTCCTCCATATGCATAGCACGTGCAATATCTGCCTGAATAGAGTCACTTCTGTAACACCCCGGCTTCTTGGCAGTAAAAAAATTTCAAAACTCCAATATCTCAGGTCTTCGGCTAATATGAGATTTTCGTTGGAAATTCGAGTTTCTTTTATTTTACTTAACTTTCCCAAAATTTATGTCCGAACTAACCAAAATTTTAAGAGAAAAACGACGAAAAAATTAGCAAGGGACACTAGACCCGTGAGCCGCAACCTGTGACCCGCAGAGAGCCCGCGCAGGCAAGCCCTGCACGCGCAGGCAAGCCCTGCACGCGCACTGCACCCCCCCTGTGTGCAGTAAAGCTGCGCCTGCGAATGGCAGGCAGCCTGCGCTCAACAAGGTGCGCACAGCGTTGCTACAATGTACAATGAGCCTAAATTCATCATTACTATGCAGGGTACAACAAACATATCAGGCTATGTCATGCTCGGGCACAGATTGCCGATAAGGACAAACTCTCAACTCCCATGGGCACACAAAGATTTCTAATACACCCGAATACGGAACCAGCATGTATGGACATAAATAGACTCCTACGATGGTATAAGTGGGTTGAGAGTGTTGATGAGGCTGGAGTCCCCCAAAATGATTGATGAATGCAATTTCAAAATCTTATTTCATAAACGAAAATACAACAATACTATTTTCAATTGCAAAATCAAAATTCTAAATTTTAATAATTTTCAAAGTTTTCATAAAATAATATAATTAATCAAAATTACTAATTTTAAAATAATGACATAATTAATTCATACTCCAAATATCAAAATCAGGCTAACAATACCATAATAATCATTTATCTCAACTCCCGCTAATTTTTAAAATTTCTTTAGACCTTTCTGTTGTTCTCAACAGTGTAATGGCCTACACGAGTACCATTTTTTCTTCCTAATTTCGAGCAAAGTCTCGGGTTATTCTATCTCTATATTATTTCTCAAAAATATCATAATTATACTTTAAATAGTATTCTAAAAATTTTTCAAAAATTAGAACTCAAAATTTATAAAAATATAAATTTTCTATACATCTGAGACTCTTCTAATTTAGCCTTATTCCTTCACTTTTTGGACCTCAATTCCTTCCATTCCATCTCCCTCTTTCTTAGCATTCCTTTTTCTCTAAAATTCCCTCCAAATTTCTCCAAAATTTTCCCACAATTTTTCTCAAATTTTCTTCTCTCATAAAATATTTTATTCTTAATTAGTTAACTTGCTTCTTTTGAATGTTGACGGAGTTAAAACCTCATGAAATTAGAGCTAAACTATGAGTGAAGCGAGGTTCGAGCTTGATCTCTGTCCTGCTTTCTTCTAATATTATGATAGAAATGCCTCATTAAGTGATGATATTTCCCCTTTTCCGAAGATCTTGATTCATACTTGAGCATATTCTGGGTTTAATTCTGTCAACAATTGATATGCATGATTTTTTCTACAAACCTTTTGAGATGGCCTACATCTCAGCTACAAATTATGGTCAGACTGTGGTATTGGTCTAGTACCTACCACCACTTTTTTAACATGCCTTTGTTTCGGGACCATGTTTTGACCGTCAGAGCGTAAATTTGTGCGGCATCCTTGACTTTGGATTCGGTCTCGCTGATTGCATCCTACAACGTCTTTGTTGTGGGAAGGAACACTACAGTTTTATTTATCTCTGCAGCTATATAGTTCCAAAGTCATGTCATGATCATGGAATCTTCATCATCCCATGCATCAAATGTAGGGTCTCCTAGTGTTGGTACGGTACCTAAAAGGTGGTTGAGCTTCCCTTTTCCCTTTAGGGTGGTTCAAATTAATTAAAACTATCTCACATAGTCTTTTCCTAAGAACCGATAAACAACTTAAATTGACTAGAATTCACAGGTGAAATTTTCTATATGGTAATATTCTCAGTATTTTGAGATGCCTCAAACATAAAACCAATTGAAACAGTAGCTTAAGACTACACAGCTGGTGGCTGCACACAAGAGGTGGCTGCACGAAAAAAAAGAGCAGAGACAGACCGTGTTGAAGCAAAACTAGGAGCAGAAGTAGGTCAACTGGAGTAGCTGTGTGGCTGAGGAGGTATAATTCAGCTAGTGGTCAGCTATAAAGGCTTGGAGTGGTGGTGAATGGCTGGCTATGAAGACTGGCCCCTTTAGGGTTTATTTTTGTTTCAGCAATGAAGACGGAGTAGGATTAGCAGAAGAGTCTATGGATTTCTTAACCTAAATCTATGATACCATGTTAGTAATGATTTTTTAATTGATTTGTATTCCATTGAATATTACAATTCTATATATACAAGTTTCTCGAAAAATAAAATAAAATAGACAATTGATTATAAAGGGTATAATTTTCTCCTTTAACCTAATTTGTTTCCTCTCTTACCCCTTATTTATTTTCTCTTTAATACTCTAATTTATTTTCTCTTTAATATTTTGATTCACTTGCTTTTTAATATTCTAATTTATCTCATCTCTAACACACTGATGTATTTCCTCCATAACACTCCAATTTTACTTCCTTTTTAACACATTAATTAACTTCTTTTTTAACATCATGATTTTCTTCCTCTTTAACAACTACTAAATTGCTTAGGAACTGCGCAAAAGTAATCTACTTTTTCTCCTCAACTCCATGAACAAATTTTTCCTGACACACTCTTTTTTATGCTTGCATTTGTCCTAATGGAAAAACGCAACAACAAATGTTAATGAGAAAAGATCTTAAATTCCATTAATTGAAAATAGACATAAGTTTACAAATCATATTCTCTTCTAGACCCGAAATATAGACAAATAAAACCAAGAATTTTGCATCTTAACTAGAATTTATACCACATGCAGCAAACCTATGGTTTCGCACCTACAACTTGACACCATTATTTTCTTTATCATGTAAACATCACCACTTTACCAATAGCATGCTTCATTCTCCAACAAATCAATTGAAATCCCATATGAATAAGAAGCCAAACAAGACAATAGAAAGTGACTAATTCACTTTCATTCTTAAGAATTAGACTTAATGAAAATGAAGACTCATCAAACATTCAAATAAAGAGGAATTAAACCTAGCAATGTCTTGTGAATCGGAAATTATCATTCTAAGTTCAATCAACAGATCCACAAGTAAACATATCATTAGGAATCATCATCCTCAATCATTCACCCAAAACAGGAACAAGATTATTACTCTAAATTTATCATCCACATTCAACCAAAGCTTAGCATGAACTCCATTTTCATTTCCATTTTCACTGATTAAACTATAAAAAATAAATAGAACTGAACTTTAGAATGAAGAAATAATACCTTCGGTGAACCCGTCATGGGAGTCAGCCTCCTCTATCCGCCACCTTCTGCTTTCTTGTTCCCACTCTTGGTTTCCTCTGTTTCGGGCTCTTTCTCACTCGGATTCTCTCTTCCCAAGGATTCGCCGCTAAGCTTCTCGCTCTCTCGGCTCTTTTTCTCTCTTCTGCTAATCCCCCTTCGATACCCCCCACCCCCCTTCTTCTTCCTCGGGCTCGCCTTTTATAGGAGAGGAAGGATCTTCATGGTGCCGCGATTGCCCGATCCTCCTTGCACGCGACCACCTCTGTTTCTGGAGTTAAAACAAAACGACGTGGTTTCAGACCGCCTTTTTTCACACTTAAAAGCCTTAGAAAATGCCATTATTTAATCGATTTAATTGATTAAACCGAATTGATTTAAGAAAATCGGTTCGATTAATTAATTAAACTGATATAAGTTGGTTTTTAACTGAAAATTTATTACTTTTTTTGGTCTGATAATATTTGGTTTTTAACTGAAAATTATTAACTTTTTGGTCCGATTTTGGTCCTAAATTTATGGAACCAAACCCACCTAATTAATCGAATAATTTTTTAGGATATACTAAATATATAATATAATATAATATCTATATAAACTATAAAATGTAGATTATATGTTATGTATAATATACTATATAGAAATATATGCATTGTACATAATATATTTAATATATTAGTAATATTTTAAAATATAAAATTAAAAAAAATCAAGTTAATTTTATGATTATTTAAATTTCAACTAATCTAACTGAGATTATCAAATTCAAAATATGGTTTGGTTAATGTTTTTAATTTTAAAAATTTTTAATCTAACCGACAGAATGTACACTTTTAAATGTAGATTGTTGAATGAGTCATACAATTTTGGGCTAGTTTGCTCATTTTCCTTCCTTTTTCTTTTATTAGACTCTTCTTTTCCTTTTCCCTTTGGCGAGTTTTCGGGCCTCTGTGACTTCTTCCTTCTTTGTCTTTTCTTTTCTCCCTTCCTTTCTTTCATTCTTCTTTTTTTTCTTCATTTTTTTTAAATTAAAAAAATAAATAAAAACAAAAAAAGTAAAATAAAAATACCGATAACAACAAGAATAACAACAAGAATAACAATAATAATAACAATAATAGTAATAACAATAATAATAATAGTAATAATAATACTAAATTGTGGAGAAATTAATTTTTATTGAATTTCTCACCGTTTAATAAAAGTTTACTGTTATTGTTATCATTATTATTATTATAAAATTATTATTTTTGTTATTTGTGGTATGATAAAATTAGAGTATAAAACATTTATCTTGTATCTATCAAGTTTTAGGATTCCATAGGGTGGCTATCAAGTTTTAGGATTCCATAGGGTGGCGGCTTAACAATTCCCATTTATATAGCAAACCTTTAAAAAAAACACACACACACACACGCACACATGCGTACATTTAGTTTAATGTGATTTATTAGAAAAAATTATTTATTTTTTTTAATTTTTTAGCATGATTCATCATATGAAAGCAAAGTTCACAGCGTGAACTTTCGCTCTCTCAAGTTTCATATTAATCCAAATTGCACAACGTGAATTATGAACAGATTTGTAAGTCTTTTCTATTTTATTATGAAAAATAATACTCTCTCATTTGTGAATTGACCTTTTAATTTCTCAACCATATCAAGTTTGGTTTCAAAGAAAGATTGCAATAGATTTTTGTGATTGTTGAATTGATGTTCATAAGAATAATGTTCACTATGAAGAGCATGAAGATGATGAAAATATTTTTTACCATGAGGATATCAAATAGTCAAGTAATGATTATTCCTTTTGACGTAATTAAAGGGCTAAGAGGCTTTCTTATCAAATAGATCTTGCTAAGAAAATTAAATTTCTAAAGTTTAAAGATAAAATGCAACTAGATGAGTTTCTTGATTAACTACACATTATTAAATATCATTGAACTATTTTAATTTGATTTTAATGGATAATAAAACATCAGTAAAATATGTAATAGTCCAAACTCTCATTTAGAGTTCTTACCGCATGCACACAATAAAGTAGTAAAATAATTTAGAAAATATTATATTACACAACGAGTTTAAAAATTTAAAATTACATCCTAAATGTTGGGTTTGAAATGTTAACCGTGCATACTAAATCTGAAATATCCAATGCATATGAGACATATCTAAAGTAAAAAATAAAGACTTAGAGTAGAAGAAATAAATAACTTTAAGTTCTAATTAAAATGTAACAAAATAAAAAGATCTCATAGCAACTCCTTCACTGTGCAGGAGCCTGATCCTGATTATTTTGATCAGAAAAAGATCAATAATAATTGAGCGAGCTTAACATGCTCATTAAGTGTATAAATACCAATAAATAATAAAATCATCTTTATTAGGAGATTATTTATTAAAATTTGAATGGTTACAACTAGGAATTGAAGGCTTATTTATAGAGTAAGACTATATACAATACAAAAAAGTAAATCTTCTAAATTAATTGTAGGAATTGAAAGGGAAACTAAATCTTACTTTAAATGAAAAATTAATAAAAATTAAGAAACTTTAACTAATTAGGCTAGATAGGATCTTCCCTTTTTGGAAGTTTTTTTAATTGAGGAAGATCTTAATTGATTGTAAAAAAATTAGGGGGGATACTAAATGGAAGTTTAAGGCTAGCTATTAAAGGAGCATTATGGCCACCCAAACCTTTCCTTTTCTTCTAAGATTTGGTTCTTTAAAGAGTCTTCCCTTTTTTTAATGTACTTTGTGATTTTAAGAGATTTTTCCCCCTTTGACTGATCCGCCCTCTTGAAGGGAAAGATTTACAACAATCTTAGAAAAGAAAATCCTATGGGAATTTTTTCTTTTCATGGTTTGGAAGATCTCTCCTTTTATGGCCAACTTCTCTTGCCTTTTCTTGTTTGATTCCCTTTTCCACTTAGATTGAATTGTAGGGACCATTATGCCCTTAAGTTAATGGGCTTGTTTTTTTCTTCTCGTGAGCTTCATCACTTGATCTAAACCCATTTTCCCAATTAATCCATTCTTAGATAAAAAGTTGAAGAGCTTGTTTGTTATGTTCATGGCCCATGCTCACATCACACATGAATACATCATAGTTCATAATTCACAGTTTACAGTCACAGTAGACAGTATACAGTTCACGGTTTCACAATATTTATCACTTAGCCATGTCTGGCTAAAGTCATATCTATAGATAGGGTTCACCACATTCACATGCCAAAATGCAACACTCACACCCACTCCTCGTTGATACTAGTTAAATGAGTTTTCATGACTTTTAATATTTTTTTTTATTTCAACTCATTAATAAATTTTTTAAGTTTATGATAACACACATCCTATTCATACTCATCAAATTAGACTCTTTTATATACCTTTAATATCCTCATAGTTCATACAACAGCAACCAATATATATAAGAATTCAGTTATAAAACAAAACATAACAAATCATCAGTAATAAACATAAGTAAGAACACAAAATAAATAATATAGTCATGTCAAATCTTGCACCAATTTATAATTTAAAATAAAAAAATTAATTATTAGGCATCATATTTTTTATCTCCTAAATAAATTAAACTACATTTATAAGTATTTATGCACTTAGCTAATTTTTTCTCATCAATCTACTTTGCAGAAGGGTCCTTGAATGCTAAATTCAACCTCGTGTGTGACATCCCAAATACTAATTAAAGCATATGGGCGTTAGATACAGAAATAGATTACGAGTGCATTTAA